TCACGTAATGATTTTTATAAGTGTTTGGCATTGATGGCCCTTGTTCAGCAAGGCAAAGCAATTGATGAGAAATTATTAAATAACTATGTGAATCGAGGTACCTTTGCTATTGTAGAATTTATATCAATATATAAAAAGCCTGTTCCCTTATTTTTTTTTTATAGAATTACCTACTCCAACAATTGATAATATAAATACTTTAGAAGATCGTTTATTACGTCTGCTTCGAAGTGAACAACGAAGCAGTACTCTCTGTTTTCGTTATAATGATCTTTGTGCACTTGATACTATTCAGGTGGATCTAGAACCTGAGAAAAAAGGTAAAAAAAAGAAAGTCATGCTTTTAGAAAATTGCTTCCGATCTAAAACTTCATTTTATCAGGTATTATTATACGACATGTTGAATATGCAATAACAAGCATGGTAAGTATTCTGTTGTTATTGTTGTAAGCATATATTATCACCTTGTTATTTCTTTCGCAAATAAAAATATACTAGCGTCAAAATAATAAGGTCTTACGTCGTTATAATGACTTTGTTGCACTACATGAATTGCTAACGTTAAAATATCCATATCGAATAATACCAATGCTTCCACCAAAAAAAACAGTCAATGGTTTGTTTATCGCTCGTTTTCATTAGCTATTACTTCAACAAAAGATGATTTTGCAATTAGAAAAAAACATAATTGATCATGCTTGTTAATTATTATTTTTTCCTTATTGATAAATAAATTTTTTTTTCATATATGTAGTGGATAAAGAATTCATTGAAGAACGTCGTCGAGCACTAAAACGATATATTCAAATTCTGTGTCGTCATCCAACTATTTCTGATACAGAAATCATAAAATTTTTTCTAACATTCCGAGGCGAAGTTGGTATTTTATAAAAACAGTGACCATGTGATTTTCTTTATAAATTTTATTTTTAATAGTCATGTGGTGATAATATGAAAGCAACATATAAAAATACTCTTGATGAATTCAGTTCTGAACCACGATCATTATTGAATACGAATGATAATACTGATGTAATAAATTAAATTTGAATTTATTGTTAATTCTTTTTTTTTATTTGATTCTCTTAGAAATTTGGAGAAGATTCCGATGGTATAAAAATATTTCGTATTAGTCAGACGCATATGTCATTTATTCATCAACAATTAAGTCATATTCGCGAATGTTTAATTAGTATTCATGATAAACATTCTAAAAATGCAGATGATTTTACAAATATTGAAAAAACGTTTCAGTAAAATCGAAATTTATTGCTATAATTAAAATTAATTATTTTTATTAAGAGCACTTAGTTCAGAATCAACAAACATCGATCGATGGGCTACAGGTTCTAATGATTATTGGCCAACAATTCAAGTTGGTTTAGCTGATTTACCTATTGAAATGAGTGCTATATCAGAACGAATTCATGAACAATGTAAACGTGATGATGAAGTGATTAGTGATCATCTTGATATGTTAATTGATTTACTTCAAGGATATAAGGTAAAATAAGAACAAAGTTTTTCTAATTCTAGATTAAGTTCATCATGATTTAGGATTTATGTAAACGATTTGAAGAAGCACTATTAAGTGAACAAAAAGCTATTCAAAAAGCAAACAATCAACAACAAAGACGTCCAACCATCACAACTGATACATCAACAAAAGTAAAAGCTAATTAAATAGATAAGCATGAAATTGATAAAAATATTCTAAGCATCTTTTGTTTATAACGATCGTTACTATAGGTTCCATTTACCAAACATATTTTCATGTTGATACTAGCTTTACAATACAAATAGCACTCTCTTTTATAATTTTTTCTAGAATATTATATAGTAATGATAATACTATAGTTTCTTTATAGATCTCGATCAGAATATCTCAAGAAATAATCTTTAATTATATAAGATTATATGTTTAATATTAAAAGTTTATTGCTCTTTGCTTGTCGATAATTGTTAATTTTTGTTCTATCCTTATTTAACTAGTTTACTTGAATTTGAAATAATATACAAATATATAGAAATCAAACCATTTATTGACTTCCTATAAGATCTGAATTCAATCGAGTTTCATTAAAGGTAAAAAAGAAGTATATTCTAGTTGTCATAGAAGATAGCTGAAATTCTAAACAAAAAACATGAGCGTTCGAAAATAAAACTCTCAATTAAAGTATTGAAAGTGCGGTTCAAATTTAAACCCGAAATTTTTTAATTAAACAGTTTCATACATACCTTCATTGAAAAACAAATCTTAATATTTATATGTATTTCAAAGTGTAATCTATAATACATTCTCATAAGTTGATTTTTAAAACCTGAAATCCTAAGTTTTTATTTTTTTTATTATTTTTATAGAATGAAATTAATCTTGATTTACTTGAAAAACGTAATC